GGGGCCGCCCCCTGCGCGCGGCGCCGGCGGGCACGCGCGCGGAGCACGCGCACGGAGCACGCGCACGCGCGCTCCAGGGGGACGCGTCTGTACGCGCACGCATGGACACACACACGTGCGCACGCACACACGTGTGCGCATGCACGCACACCTCTGTGCACACACGACCGCGCACATACGTATCCGCACTGGTATAGACACCCGGTGGTGCACACACACACACACACACACACACACACACACACAAGCACACCGCACACATCTACACATACACCTATACACACAGATACAAGACTTCACACACACCTGTATACACATATATAAAAACACAAGCACACGCACATATACATATATACACACACATGCATATGCAACACATATATAAAGCACATATATATATATATATATATATATGCACAAGCACCCATGCATCCCCCCCATATACACACACACATATCTACACATTTATGTATGGGGGGAGAGGACTGTCTCATCACCCCACTGCGGCCGCAGCGGGGCTGGGTTGGCACCCGCCCCTCAGCCCCGACCGCGGGCGCTGCCGGCTGCGTCCGGGCGGGCACCGTGATCCGTGCGCCGGCTCCAGCCCAGGGCCACCAGTAAGCTCCCAGCGACACTTTTTAGCCAACAAAGTCCTTCTGTTTCTCCGTGGAGAGTCTTGATCTAGCTCCAAGRAGTGGTCAGGAGAGGTGATTTTGTTACCTCTACGTCAGTATTTTGAATGGGTCGGATTTAGTTCTCTGTCTTGAAGCTGTTTCTTTCCCATGCCTTTGTCTCATCAGAATCAAAGAATATTTTCTTGCCGTTCTTTTGAGGGTGGAGAGAAATTAACTTGTTTAGCCCCTTTATCTGTTTTTTTGAGGTAACAGCAAACATTTGGGGCACCCAGCATCCAAACACCACCCAAAGGGCAGGCAGCAAGCCAGACTAAGATGTTTATTTTCACAGAAAGAGGGAAACAGGATGTAGAAAAGTAAAAAGAGCCATTAAAAAAATTAATCTGGATTCTGAATTGTTAAAAACAAGGCCCTAAAATCCTGCACTTGTTGCACTCACACTAGCTTCTGCCTACCAGTCTAGAAAAGTCAGCCTGAGTTTAGAGGTTGTCCCACAAGACTATAGAAAATGGTTCCCATTCCAGGGCTCCCTGACAGTTACTGCACTCAGGATTTCTCAAAAATGCCTGTCTTCCCGCAAAGGAGAAGTGCTTAAGAGGATTTTCTGCCAGGTCTCGAGTGACAGCACGTGTCCCCTGGGAAGGGGCGCCTACTGCAGGGAAAGCTTGCGGCGATGCCCACGAGCCGAGTCCTGGCCCTCGGCAGCGGCGGGGCCCTCCCTGGCGGGATCCGTCCACCTGCGCTCGGCGGAGCTGGAGCAGGGCTCGGCCTCCACGCCGGGGGCTGCAAGGAGGAGGCTCTCTCTGCTTGTGCCCTCGCTGGAACCATCTCTGAAGCCGCTGCGCTCTAGGAAGGAAGAGAAGCAACAACAGGGCAGCRAGGGGTGACCTCTGCACCCCACTAGTGAACGGGACCCTCTCTCCTCCGGGGAGAAGTTGTTTGCTGCCCACTTCTCATATGAATTCTCCCCGCGTGCCGGGCAGGGCCTGTGTGGAGGCAGAAGCCCTCACCTGCCTCGGCGGAGACGTACACCTCTTCCCAGCTGTAATCGGCCACGTTCACCGGCTGCTTCAGCCACGGGTCCTCCAAGAGCTTGGCTAGAGTCGTGCGCTGCTGCGGCACGGGGTGCAGCAGCCCTGCAATCAGCCTCACGAGACCTGAGGAAGGGGTGAGGCCGCGCGTTAGGCACGCTGCGAATGCAGGGCAATATTTAGATTTAAGCAGTTCAGGTTTTAATCACAAGTTCTCCCCCTTAAACCCTTGTGCGGCACTGTTTTTATTCAGATTTCTCTACACGTTGCTTAGCTCTGGGAACGATCACAGCTTTTTGGGTTGTAAAAAGAGCAAACGGAGAGCAAAGTTGGGACCCTGGARGAGAGAGACATGGAAAGAAATGCCAGGGAGGCAGCCCAAGCTCACTGATCCCAAGCCCAGTCTTCTGTTACGGTCCTGCCATGTTTCATCAGTGATTAAAGGAGCACTTAACGCTCATGGAAAGCTTTAAGAATTGGCCAGCTAATTGTAGCACCACAGAAACGCTACAAACATATTTTTTTGCTGCAAGATCAAAGCATACAATTCATCTGGAAGTTATGAACATTAACAGATTCTCGTCACACACAAGAATAACATACTGCTTGCTGGCAACTAGTCCAAGTGAGACRAAACGGGATTAGAATTATGCAAGGGCTGTTGCAGATTTGAGAGCTATTGAGTAGACTTTGTTTGCTCTGGTTTACTCGGGTATAAACCACACTGAAGTTCAGTCAGTTGTGGCTAAGTTCATTATAATAAATTAAAGATCTGGACTTTGAAATACTGAGACATATAATAGCTTTATTAATTGCATGCATAAAGAACTGCAAATTTATCATTAAAAAAAAAAAAAAAAAAAAAAAAAGGTGTCTTTCCCACGGGGAACAGCTTTCTAAATCATTGCAGAGCACATTTGGAACTGCTTATCCAGTTTTCCCCTCCTTCTGCTCAAACTTTTCTGAGAGATCTGGCCCTTTAGCAAAACAAAAGCAAAAGCAAAGGACTCACCTTCTGACACGACCCTGGGGGGATTCAGGACAGCGGCCATGGCCTCCTCCAGCTCACAGAAGGGATTCTCTCCAAATATGAGGGTATAAAGGGTGACACCAAGTGACCACATCTCCAGCTCAGGCCCTTGGTACCTATGGGGAGACGTGCAGCCTTGCATTAACTCAGGCTGCAAAAAACACCCTTGTGTGCTGAAGAACTGCAAAAAATAAAACAAATTCTTTTAATGGTTCGAATTTTTAACACAGCAAGGTTATGAGATTTCTAATAAGGCTCCCGCAAGGAAGGAAAGATAAAATACTTGCACATACAGGTAGTATTTGCCATCCTGGGACGGTAAAGTTTCCCAAGTGGGTGTATGAGGTTGCCAGATCCTATTTAGAGGAAAGAATATTCAGGGAGGGGAGAATGGGGAAAAGACTGCTGAGCTTTGGGCAGCACATCCAAGACAGCAGTAAAAGACGCTGCAACAAAAGAATCCTGGATTTTAGGGGAGCRTGAGCTTGTCCTTGCACTTACTCATTACTCTGCACAGTCAGAAACAACTGTTTGWATCTGAGCCTTTTACAAGTAATTTCTGCCACTGCAGTGCCCTAAATCTCAGCACAGCTTTCTATGGTGTGCTTAGATACTCCGGACCACCAGTATCAAAGCCTTCCTGTGCTGCACACACACATTTTGGGTGACAAGGGACACRGGGGTGACTTTTCGGAGGGCGACGTACGGTTTGCCAGAGAGCACTTCTGGTGAGCAGTATTCAATGGTCCCGCAGAAGGTATAAAACAATTTGCCCGGTTCCAGGTAGGCGGCTGAACCAAAATCCACGAGCTTAATGGTGAAGTCTTCAGCAATGACAATATTTTCATCCTTGATGTCCCTGTGAAGGATGTTTCTGCAGTGGAGGTAGCCCACAGCTGACACAAGCTGGAACAGAGGAAAGGAGGAGGTTTTAGCACACAGAGATCTCCTGCCGGACAATCTACATGGTGACACAATTCCAGTCATCCTATTTTGGGTTAGAACTGCATAAACCAGATCTAGCTCCTAGTGTTGCTAACTACACGAGAGCTCAGGAATGGCTGTCAGCACTGCTGTGAGAGGCGTCGACTCCAGGGCTCTTGTAGTCACCAAGTATTTATGGTTTTGGTAAGAAGCGTCYGTGGCTGCTGCTACAACCCTGCAGGTTATTCTATTTTTATCTCAGCTTTTGTTTTCTTTGGAGGGGCCTTTGATTTTTCCAGCAGACTCTTGACTGTTGGCCTCCAGCGCTGCAGGATGACAAAGCACTGGAGAGTGAAGTTTCATAGGAACAGCACATTCCCCCGGAGGCCCCTTCTTCTTCGCGCACGACTCGCGCTCTAACACCGTAATTAAGAAGCTCATCACAATTATGTCACCTTGGAAACAGTCTTGAGCCCGACCACAATACATCTCAGCAAGAAAAGCAGGCAGGGAAGTTTCCATTTATAATGCAAAGCTCCCTCTTCTCCCACAGCAGAGCACATGCAGCTGTCACGTAAACGGGCATCTAGGAGTGCACGGTGCCATGGGCAGGGCCAAAAAGCAAGAGTTTTCAATAAAATCCTCACCTGAAGACAGACCCTGTAAAGGTTTCCGTGTTAGAGGTTTCTAAGTAAACCTCAGACAGGTTTTGYAGGCTGCATTTCAGTAAAGTTCTGCAGTTATTGCACACAACCCTGGAGGAACCAGTGCCTACTGATCAGYCAGTAATTCTTCTGAGTGAAAAAAGGTCTCAGTCCTTATATTAATTACCTTTCTCCTATGTGCAGCAAATGCACGTTGCCAGCTCTCACCTGTCTGAACAGATAGCTTGCTAAGGGCTCATCCAAGTCAGGCTGATTATCAATGAACGCAAAGAGATCCAGACCAGATCCATGCTTCTCCATCACCAGCTGGAAGAACTGTTCATTTTCAAATACATCCAGAACCTATAAATAACAGACTCTTTTTACCATGAGCTTCAACCTCAAACTATTTTTGCCAACGTTGCTTCCCTCTTGGGAGGCTTAGTCAGAGTACATCATCATCTCTCAAGTCTCATCTCACCAAGCACAAAGAGTTCTTGAAGAATGCATGGAATTAAAATGGAAAGGAGCATTGAAAGCAAGAGGAATTATCTTTCTGAGAAAAAGAAAAAAGGCAGAGAACAGAAATCAAGATACACAGCAAAATTTTTTACTGAACTGCTAAATGTCTGGGCATAGTGTATTTCACTGCTAAGGCATGCATCCTGTTGTTATCTTAAAATAATGCATGGGCTTTTTTTCTTTCATCAGATACAGTTCCCACTGGGTTTGCTCTAAATTACAGTACCTTAATGATATTGGGGTGCTGCACCTTCGACAGGATTGCAATCTCTTGAGTCACTCGCCCCAGGTCAGGGTCATCTACCCAGCAGTCCTCAAACACCCTCTCCTTCCAGATGAACTTCACCACAACCTACACAGAAAACTACATTTAATATTGCCCACAAAAACATGGCTTTAAGTACTTGCTAAGTTAATTTCCCAGAAAGATTASTGACCGATATTACTAGAAAACTAGAAGCCAATATGTGCTGCTTATACTATTTTTAAAATATACTTGAACTAATCGAGCCCTAGAAGCCAAATGCCACACACAGATGGCAAATATCCATAATTTATTTTATTTTTGTTGATGCTCTGAATTCCAACGACTTTGACAAGCAGGCTGTCTTCCATAAACTCCATTATGGCAATAATAACCTCTAGAAGGGGTTTACAGTAGAGAGAAATGAGCAGTTAACCATACACAGGAAAAAATAGAGATTTTGCTTCTCGACACCCAAAATACTCCTGCTGATAAAGAACTATTTTGGGTCTCATAACCTCCGTGTGATTATTTCACTGCAAAGTAACCACATCCTAAAGTCTTGGCACAAAAGACGGACTTTGGAGTTTGACCTCCTCTTTAGCAAATAAAGATTAAAATGTGTAATTCTGTTTAAGCCCAGAATACACTTCTTGGAGCAGGTTAAATTAGCTCCATGACCAGCCTCATTCCATACCTGCTGCTTTAGGTAACAGGTCATCAAGGCGAGCATTTCACTGTCCTGTTTTCACAAGCTTAAAGACTTCACATKCTAAATACATAAAACCCCAAACTAGGAAATGGCAGGTTTTAATAGCTTAGTTTTTATATTACATAAATGCTCTAACTTTTCAAATTCAATCCTAAATAATCATTACAACAACAACTAGAATAGAAATACTTAACCTCTTGTTGATCTGCCTTGCACCTGGCAGTCCAGACAAAGCCAAAAGACCCTTTGCCGATGGGACTCAGCGTGTCGTATTTTCTTGCATATTCTCCCTCACAAGCCTGTAGCCTTTCAAGCTCTTCAGCAGCTCGGGAGCTATCTGAAAAWGGAGTTGATCTGATCCTCTAGGTACAGAAAAAAGAAAACAGCAAAAGGAAAATGAGCAAAACCAGGAAAATGTCTGTAAAATGACATAAAGACTGAAAAGAAAATACGTATTCACAAGACTAACTGAAGAGAGTGATCTTTGCTTTTGATAGCAAAGTCTGTATATTGAGGTAACAAATACTGGGGTAACAAAAATGTTTAATTCAATAGTGTGATTTCAATAGCTCCCAGTGCTGCTAAAGTCAGGAAAAAGGAAAACCAAACTGAAGAATGTGCATTTTAGCTGCTAGTACAAAATTTTCTAGGCAAATAGGAAAATAGAATAATGAATTTTTAGCAAATGAACATCTTATTTGATGAACAAAAAGGCAGATGATTTTTGATGCCATCTCTTTTCCAGGTTAAACGGACAGAACTAAAAAGGTGCTTTAAGCCCAAGCAATAAAATTGTCGATTTCCACGTGTTGCACCAACCTAAAWTGACTCAGTGTATAAAAGACATTTAATTTCCAATGTTTACAGAGCTCTCTGGCACAAGAGCATTTTACTTTCTTCAAGCTCTCTTAGGGGACAGACAGAAGAAAGAAATTTAAGGAACACCTTACTAAAATCCATTATAAAGTCATATAAAATCCAGCTACCTAAAGATTTTAGGGCATGCTTATTCATGGAATCTAAAAGATCTCCTTCACCCATTTAGGTTCATCCAAGAGACTATTTCTCTGTTTACAGCTCTAGTGAAAGTACTGTCAGTTTTTCATCCACTATTAATTAAAAGGCAAGCCCGAGGAGTTACATATTCAATTTTCTGTACACCAAGCCGAATGCAGCACCCTGGTAGGCAGCTAAAAAAAAAAGGCCTTTTTTGCTGACCTAAGTCACTGTGAAAGTTTCTTTCATCCCAGTATTTCTTTTCTTTTAATAATGTTACATTGCTTGTTTCAACGTGATTACACTGATTTTAAAATTAATCTCATTACACTGGGGCAAATCTCTATTGTAAAGATCCTTAAACCTGCCTAAGAACAGATTGAAAACTAGGAGCTTTTATTGTTCAGACTGGGAAGGTAACTACACGGCACCGTGTAGTTCAGTGCGTTACAGAATAATAATTTGTCCTTTCCATGGCAACCCCTAAACACGCATTTCTTTTGACACACCAACAGGGAAATAAGGAAGCAGCAATATTCCCCACCAGGCCAGGCCATTATTACAGCATGGAAAACTTCACAACCTTTGGTTCAGCTCGACAGTGCTCCATGTTATAAAACAGCGTAAATAAAATTTCTTACTTCTGTGAGACTGTGTGTGGAAAAATCTGTTACGGACTGGATGGAGCTCGCGAGGCTGGAGAAGCAGAGCTGAGTCTTTGGTGTTGTTTCTTGCTGGCTCGGTATAAAGTCTTTGACCACCCAGACGCAGAAGAGTGCAGCAGGGTCCTGCAGTTCCACGTGTTTCACTTCAAAAAGTATCGCTGCGGAAACAGGGGGGAGAGTTGAAAGGGTGGAATGAAACTTTATTGCTGAATGAGAGCACAGAGCCTCCTGAGAGACATTTTGTTTGGGGTTTGGGGACTAGAGCTGTCTGCCTTCCTCAGAAGTGTGGGTGAAAAAGTGTCCTGTTAGGAGGTTTTGGCAGAGGAGAAGCAGGCTTAACTTACTCAGTCGAGAACCATCTCTGTGATAGCAGCTCCCAAAGTAGATGCCCTCCAGTATCTCCGAGCTCAAAGGATTCGGACGTCCTTCTTGTTTCACGGGCGTAGATGTTACTCGTACTGGCACAGTTTGCTTTTTCTGCCCAGAGAAAGCACTGTCTGGAAGTAGTGTTTCAGCCACAGCGCAATCCTCTGCATCAGAGGACGCTCCCACAGGAGCCGCAGCGGTGCCTGAAGAGTCAGCTGAGTTCCCCTCCGCACCAAGATTCAGATCCAGATCCTCRAGGCCAGAGCAAAGGCAGTTGAGCWCAGTGTCTGACTCTTTAACATCCTCAAGGGTTGTTTCAGCTCCCAGGGCAAATGCCAGGCTGATTTTCGAAGGCTGCTGTTTAATCCTGTACCTCTGAAGGTCTCGCAGGCAGCGAGATGCTGCCRCAGACCGCAGTTCATCGACTGTTGCTGGTCCGGATGAGGTACCAGTCACAGAAGAAGGCTTAGCCAAGCTATCGGACRGAGCAGTGGACACGTCTTCTAGCCTAGAAAACACAGGAAAATGGGAACAATTGGGAAACGTTTGTGAAGGAGGAGTTCACAGTTATTCTTTATATTATATGCTTTGTATTACATTATATGACAAATGTATTACATTATATGAGAAAAGAGTCATTTGTATGACACCCACTGTTCAGGTCCTACGTTGACTATGTAAAACGCACACAAAACCTCTCCTTTTCAGACTTAAAAAAGACAGAAAGCACTTGGTCCAGCTTCCAGCTTTAGCACTCCAGTGGCACTCCTTCCCTAGGGATTACTTTCTTATCTAACTCCATTTCTAAATATATTTTGCAGTTCATTTACCACAACCAGAAGCYGCTACATGTGGCAAGGCACTTCTAGCCCTGAGAAGATTCCTGTTGACTTCTCAGCCATCAGCTCAAACACAGTTCAATGGAACCCACTGCATAAGGTATTTTACAATGGAAAATTTTATTTTACCTTATATTTTATATTTTACCTCATCTTTACCAAGGCATKTTAACATATTTACCTTCTAGCAGTTGTGGATGAGACTTCAGGAGAGGAAGGAGTAGGTGAGAAACTGCTCCCACTCTTTCTCTTGCTCCCTGTATTTACCATCCTGTCTTCTCTGTGTCTTTGCCCTGGTATCTGTGCCTCATCTCGTGCCAGAAGGCTTGTTGAAGAWGAAGCCAAATGACTGATTCCTGCACCAAACAAGAAACAAAACCTTGTTTATGCATKGATGTTTATTTAAGCTATTGCAGAGGTATTGGCCTCTTGGGTTAGCTAGTTGGCTTGAAGTTCAGGGAGCTGAGAGAGGCTCGTGGCTATGCAGAGACTGAGAATGAGGCTATCATATAGASAGCAGCAGCATGAAAGGCCAAAATACACAAAAACTGGGATGTAGTAAAGCAAGGATTGTTAGACTCGCAGAAGTAAGTGAACAAATGCAGTTTTCAAATGGAAAAAAATATTCTAGTTTCTGAAGTCTGAGTGTCAATGTTTCCTCCCTGAAGATGAATTACCTCTGGATTACAAAGCTATCCCTTCACTAAAGAGTTATTTAAGAATTTTCACACTGTCTACTTGTTTCGGTAGGAACTGTGAGTTGTTTCCAAAGCAGCTGTGCATCTCCAGGCAAAAAAAAAAAAAAAAAAACTGCTTAGACATAAACTGCTTTTACAAAGCACACTTCCATATTCAGAGGTAAATTCCTCTTCTTTGCTCATTTTACCTTTGTTGGAGCCACCAGGGGCGGTTGTACTGCAAGCAGCGACTCCTCCAGAGATACCTGCATTTTCTGTCCCCATTGAGTCCTCAAAGGGAGGTAGTGGCAAGGAGCGGTCCCTGCATTTGTCCATGCTCTTATAGAAACCAGGGATCAGGAACGTAATGTTCTAAAACAGAAGAAAATGAAACCTTTGAAGGTAAATGGGCTCTCACATGCTGGGGACAATTGCTAACAAACTACGTTGGCAGTCGTGATGCTCATGGAAAGTCAGGCTCAGGTGGAGAACACATGAGTGTGCAGCATCTGGTGGCCCAGAAGGCCAACGGGATCCCGGGGTGCATTAAGAGGAGCGTCTCCAACAGGTCGAGGGAGGTGATTGTCCCCCTATACACAGCCCTGGTGAGGCCACATCTGGAGACTGGGATCTGGGCTCCCCAGKACAAGAGGGATGTGGAGCTGCTGGAGAGAGTCCAGCGCAGGGCTATGAGGATCATCAGGGGCCTGGAACATCTGCCCTATGAGCAAAGGCTGAGGGAGCTGGGCCTGTTCAGCCTGGAGAAGAGGAGGCTGAGGGGGGACCTGAGCAGTGTCTGTACCCTCAAGGGAGGCTGTGAGGAGGAGGGGCCGGCCTCTTTTCAGCGGTGGCCAGCGACAGGACTAGAGGAAATGGCTACAAACYGAAGCATCGGAAGCTCTACAGGAACACGTTTCTTAACAGTGAGGGTGACAGAGCCCTGGAACAGGCTGCCCAGGGAGGTTGTGGAGTCTCCTTCTTTGGAGATCTTTAAAACCCGCTTGGATGCAGCCCTGTGCCACATGCTCTGGGTGACCCTAGGCGTGCAGGGAGGTTGGACTAGATGACCTCTGAGGTCCCTTGCAACCTTAASCATTCTATGATTCTATGATCCTTTGGACTGTTGGAAGCTCATTCCAACCCAAACCAAGAAAAAAAAAATCCAGCAATTGCAACCAGAGAATTTGTGTATTATCCTGCAACTCACTCACTGAACTAGTAGAGCACGGACTTTTGTGACAGACAGAACYGAGGAGCAAAGGAAACTTTGCACCTCCCAGGGATGTGCTGCCTGACACGACAGTCATGTTAGGGAGACGACAATTCCTACCTTACCTTTCCCAACAGCTCTTCCTTCTCATAGCCAAACAGCATTAGRGCGAAACTGTTCTGGATGCCATGGATGGTTCCGTCTGGCTGGAGTGTAATAATGCCACTGATGGTGGAAAACACCCTGACTGTGGCAGAATAATGACAGTCTGTGAAGTAGCCTTGTTTTTCTGTCCATGAAAYGTTGTCTTTCTGCAGTTCAGCTTTGTCGTCTTCTGGAAGGCTAGTGTGCAGCTTTATGCTGAGAGGAAAGGTGTTCCCCTCTCTGGTTCGACCTACAGATCTCTGGATCCTGAGGTTCTAAAGGCAAGCAGATGAACAAACAAACTTAAAAMCCCTAAACCACCAGTTAATTTTATTTTAGTATTCATATAAAGTCGCCCAGAAAAGTTCTCAGGAAAAAGGATAGAGAGAAGGAGCAGGCAAAGAGAAAGTGAACAAATGTTGTGAATATCAAGTGTCAAAAGCAAAGTTGTTGTTTTTTGGAGGATTTATAACACAGTGTTGAAGACAGGCCGTGTCCATGCTGCAGCTTCTGGGCAAAGAGGGCATTTTAGGCAAACTTAGCTTAGATCTTAGGTCTTTCTCCCTACATCCCAATGCCATTTGCAAAATCTGCACGTTTTTTAAACTTTTAGCCTTTCGAACACCACTGAAACCAGCCAAAGAATTCAAAGCAGCATGAGGGTGCTGACAGAGACAGCAGGGTTCCCAAAAGAAGCCAGGCTTCTCATGGAATGGGAAAAAGCATCTGTAACAATGACACATCCCAAAACGAGAGGTCAGGGTTTGGGCTCATCCTTAGAAAACCTCCAGACAGCAGCCAGCTAAATAAGCAGCACAGTCTTTTATTTTGAGGACACTTGTGCATCGCTCTGAAAAGGCTTCCTCTTGATGGACAAGGAGGGAAAACAACGTATACCTATGGCCAGGGGGGAAGCRTATGAAAAAGTTTGCCTGGAGTTTATACCATACCTTTGGGATACTTTTGCCCAGAGCGGGGATCTGCACAGAAGGAATCAGGTCTTTTAGGTTGAGCCCAATTACTTCTTCCAATGATGGGTAGCCATGGAGATAGGCAAAAAGAAGGTCACATGATGTAATCTCGCCCTTGGGAAGAGAATTTACAGGACTATTTTAGCAGTTTAGACGTAAGCCAGCCCATCCTCTAACAACAGTTTCTGCAAGGATCTGCCCAAATGCCAAGAGATGTCCACAAAGAGAGGGCAGAATTAAACAGGTGACTCAGTAAAAGCAAACATGGTATAACACAATGCTGCTCTGACAAGGTCATGCATGAACCCACCCCTGGTCAGAGAAGCAGAGGAGTCTAAGATTCCTCACAACATTTTTCCTTAGCAAACTGCTTCCCTTCACAAGAAGGGCAACCCTGCCCTAAAGAATCCCCTGCCAAACTTCCAGTGTTGCAGTCTGAGATATCCCCTAAGATATTTTTTAATTTGACTAGTTAAATCTCAAGGTGAACAGCATGGGGGCAATTTGCACGTGAYCCCAATTTGAGGCAGTATTATTTTAACATTCATAAGTAATAACGTGCCCATGGAAATCAGATGCATCTAATTTGCACAAACTGTCACGAACTGCTGTCACTCGATGACTAGAAAAATACTCACGTCAGCCCTGAAGGAAACAGAAGCCGAGAGCCTTTCCACTGGTTCCAGCACAACCACACAGCGCTGGTTGTCCTCGCTCTTCATTCGCCTCAGCCACACGGAGACTGGGATCTTCTCTTTGGAACGGCCTAGAATATCCACCTTCCCATAGGAAACACAGAGGGGTTCCAAAGAAGAATAAGAAATTACCCCCAAATCTCTCCCCCTCATTATTAGAAAAACATTGTCTCAACTATTTGCTGTATTTTTTTTTTTAATTTGGAAGAAACATAGCTTTAATATAGAGATGAAGATGTTCACAGATAATTCACTGATGATACACAACATATTGCTTTTGTTGCATCTTTCACCTCAGTGCATTTCCTTCAGCACAATAAACATTTTAATCTAATACTTCACACTCGGTGAGAATCATCCGCCGTATTTAAAGGAATTCCAGTAACACATAGCATTCAAAACAACTAAATCTTTGAATATATCCAATGGTGCCAGGGAATACTGCACATTATGAAGGTAGTTTCCATTTTCAGCTGCAAAACCAGCAGCTCAGTTTCCTGTGGGAGAAGATTCTTTGCAAATCAGATGTTTACTTATAACCTGCAGTGCTCACATCAAGCCTTTTATCACTTTTGTGGGATTTTGACAGAATGGGTTTGTGAATCACACAGCAACTCCCTGAGAGCCTATAAAATATTTGGAGCTGCTGTAGCTCGGAGGCTGTGCCTTCCTCAGCCATTTCATTTTTATTGTGGATTCAYTTACTCAAGCTTAGATTTTTCGTCCCAAACCCAACTGAAGGCTCAGGAAGCTCAAGCTTTGACATGATGGGAATTTGAGTATAAAAATCATGCGCCATGAAGAACAGGAGCTCATTTTCCCCAATATTTTCTAGTAGTGCTTCGCAAAAACAGCAATAGAAAATATTTTTTAGGTGCTTCTCTCACAGCTCTCTCACAAACAACCTCCACACAGGCAAAACRTCAGTTCTGCTCTTCTGCGTCTTAAGACATTTTGTCACAGTCARTTCACAGTATTTGATGTCTAACTTCCTAACGTGTACCATGCAATTTAATTTTAAGGATATTCTAAAAGTCTTGGACAATTTAAAACTTTTACTAGAAGTTTTTACTATGCTAGGCAATCTATGTAATTTTTGTTTGGTTGGGTTTATTTATTTATTTATTTATTTTTAAATCCAGTGTCCTTGAAGCATCCCTTTGATCACATCATCATGCCTCTATGTATTTGATAGCTGGAAGGATCTTATGGGTGCCTCCCAAACCATCTCTTACCCTTTCAGATCCCCTATCCACAGACGTCAAAAGACTTACAAATTACTTAATTGTCAAATGCCCATAAAGTCACCTGTCTCAGGAAATAATATTAAAAATGTTAAAAAAAAAAAAAAAAAAAGTGCACGGTGAATACTTGTTGGAATATGGAAGTATGGGGAATATTTGCCGGAACATTTCACGTACCACAGTTCCTGAAACCATGGATTTACATCCATCAGCTTCTATGTACTCCTCACCCAGGGTTTCCACTATGTCTTGACTGGATTTTGAAATCAGGTGGGACAGTTTCTGACCAATGAGTTCCTGACTGCTGCATCCAAGTAGATTGCAGGCTTTGTCGTTGGCCACGAGAATCTGTAGAAGTAGAAAGGAAAAAGGACAAGCCAAAAAAACCACAAAAGCCACAAGTTTCTTTAATCGTGCTGTTTTAACGTCTCACAATGTCACTTTTTCAGGGGAAATGGAGAGATCATTTTTAATTCTGAAGTCTCGCTAAAACTTCTTTTTCTAGGACAAGCCTTGGCCGAGCCTCTCCTTCSTTAAGAGGGTTTGAGACACTGGTAACTTTCAAGTTTCCTGCTTTTGAATTGCCTACCCTGTTCTCAGCACTTAATTCATACTAATGTTTACTCTCAGGACGAAACCAGAGAAATTCTCTCTCTCTCAGTGTAAAATACATATTTACTGGGACAAAGACCTTGTGTCGCCGTGAGCCCATCCCAGTGAAGGGGCTTCCTTGTCACACGGCTCCAAATTAAGTTTTCTGCCTCTCTTTCCTTCCCTGCACATGGCACCGCAACAGCTACAAGCCAGTACCTCTGTGGTGTTGACATCCACGGTGAAGATGGCTTTGCTGGGATTGCGTGCGGCGCCTGCAAGTTGTTGGCTGGATTCCTCCCCGGCAAGGGGATGCAGAAAGGACACAGAGGCAGGACTGCAAAGGGAGCTGGAGAGAGAGGCCGAATCCCACTGAGCCCAGGAGTTTGAGATTTTGCTGGTACGAATGTTATGAGCCGCCAGTGAAGACAAGCAGTAAGAGCTCCATTTGTCTCCTGTGAGAAGGTAAAGGTCAACTGGGTTGCTCTCAAGTCTACTACAGGAGGATTTACAGGCATGAATTAAAARAAAAAAATGTCCGAAACAGCCATCAGGCAACATTATCTCAAAATATATGCTGCTAGAAATTGCCAAAAAAACCCAAAACCAATTAAACTAAAGGTAAAAGAAATGATTCTAATAAATATGTCTTTTGAAGTCACAGGCACTGGAATAATTTGATACTGTTCATGGGCTAGAAAATATTGCCAACATGCATCAYATTAACCAGACCAGTCAATTTTCCTTTCACTGAAGATAACAGAGTTTAAAGGACAGGTTTTGAATTCTCTCGAGTTAAAATTGCAACTGTTATTAAATATAATTACTCTAAGTGTTCAGGCCCCATACTTAAACACCAAGTTAGTCAGAAGCTTTTTAATTAACTGTTCACAAGAGCTGACACTGAAATACCTGTGCCCACACCAGTGCTTTATGTCACGAAGTGCCAGGCGATWGTACTACGATTTTCAGAAGTTCTGCCTGTAGGATATGTTCCTGCATCTGACACTGGGAGCCAAATACCACCGCTCCATGCCCAAAACAGCAAGCAGTTCTGAAGGGCAAGTCATGATGACCTTGGCATCACAAGGATCCCTCTGTATTTACGCTTGTGTACCACATGGACCACGATAAAACAGAGACATCTGTATCTGGATGTGTTTGAAAGGGATGTAGATGTGTTGAAAGAAAGACGTTCTTCCCCCCGCTGTCATCTTCCTCCCCATTTGGCAGTTTTTCATGTTTTAGAAGATAATATTTAGAACACCAGGTATCCCAGAAGCCCAGAACTGCCTGCTCCAGCCAGTAAATGTTGCCCAGGAACAAGTACCAGTACAGAGCAGGCAAACAGCAATGTGACCCTCAAAATACCCCCTGACAGCTACTTATTGCTACCACCTCTAGCTCTCAGGGAGAGGAGGGAACAAGATCTGACACCATCTGTAGGAACAATCATCCCACTCCTCGTTGACCCCCATGAACACAGCAGTCTCAGACCACCCGCTCACCGGACAGAGATGCCTGACTCCGGCACAGCTCCGAAAAATGGCTTTTCCTCCTCTTTCTGGCCCAGGGGTTGGACCTGCTCAGCTTATCAGAGTCGCCCAAGCGCTGCAGGGACGAGCCCGGTGATGAAGGCACCAGGGCCTCCTCGGAGACGCCGGACGCCTCGGCTGCCATCTTCACACCGTGGCTGCCATGCRGTGAAACGCCGTCTGCAACAGAAACGTGACGGAACCGCTGAGACCCGGGCCTGCACTAACGCCCGCGGTATCGGCCCAACGCTCCTCCTCATCCCTTGTCCCTTGTCCCTTGCCCAAGGGACTCCTGGGCCACGCTGCAAGATCAACGTGACCATTAATGCACATGCAGCATCTATAGCACAACCTGTGGAACTTCCCCACCGTACTACTGGAAGTRCTACCATAGTCCCCAAATCACATTTTTTTCCCACTTTCCACTCATTTTAAACGCAGGTGATCAGGGCAGCCACCCTCAATATCGACGCAAAGCGGCCCGGTCCAGCGCACCCGAGTCCTCCCGCGGCGCCGGCGCGGGGCAGCCCCAGCCGGACCCAACCGGACCCAGCCGGACCCAACCGGACCCAGCCGGACCCAACCGGACCCAACCGTACCTGGCCGGGGCCGCCGCGTCCCCTCAGGGCAGTTACCTCAGAGCGGCGGGCGCGAGGAAACAGTGGGCGGGGCTTTCTGGCGCCGCTGCCCAACCAGCGTAGGCGCTGGGCGAGCGGCAGGCGGCGCGACCAATGAGACGGCGCGGCGCGGGGCGGCGGGCCGCTCGAACGGGCAGGGCCGCCCGCCCGCCGCCGCCGCGCGCTGCCGTTGCTACGGACGCCCCGGCAGCGGCGGGGGCGGCCGGGGGAGATGGGCAGCTCCCTCCACACTCTGTGCCCCTCGCAGCGGCTCTCTTTGCGCTCCCGGGATGGCCGGCAGCGAGCGACCGCCCACAGGCAGCGCCGCGGCGGGTCGCGCTGGGCCACCCGCTCCCGCGGCCGCACAGGAGGTGTGTGAGAAACCGAGGCCGCCGCCGGCGGGCCCTGAGCCAGCACCGRGGCTCCGCACAAGGCGCCCTGCTGGGACTACAACTCCCAGGAGGCAGCGGGGCGAGCGCACATGCGCGGGCAGGGAGCTGGCCAGGAGGGCGGTGCCCCTCCGCCCCCACCCGCGGCGGCGGCCTCTGATTGGCCGCGGCGGCCGTTGCGACGGTTTCCGGACAGGGGGCGGGGCGGGGGCGGTGAGGAAACATGGCGGCGGGGAGCGCGGAGGGGCCGCAGGAGATGATGGAGGGTGAGAGGCGGCCGGGGCTCGTGGCGGGGCCGGGGGGAGGCGGGCGGCCCGGCCGGGCCCTCCGCGTGGGCAGGGAAGGAGCCTGTCCCGCTGGGCCGGGGGTCTGTGCGGGCCCCGCTACTCTCATCTCCCTGCTCCGGGGCTCGTGAGGCGGGCGGTGGCAGAAGCCGGCCTGTGGAGATGACCCAGCCGCCGGTTTGAGCGGGCGCCCCCTCGCACGGCGCCGCCTCGCCTCGCCTGCCCCGTGAGGGGGCCGTGAGCGCCGGCCGGGGACAGGGGGTCGCCGCGCAGGGCCCGGGGAGAGGACCGAGCCGTCATGCCGGGAAAGGGTCGCTTTACCTGCAGGGACTTTTTGGTTTTCCTTTTTTTTTTTCCTCTCTCTCTCCTTTTTTTTTGCTTTTTTTTTTAAGCCTTTGCTACTTCATGTCACCATTACTGTTGCACAAGATACTGATATTTTTTTGCTCAAAGCGCTTTAAATGTAATAGATATAACTCCATCTCCGTAATCTTTGGATTTGCACTCCTTTGATCTAAGAAATTTCCTTTTTCCTCCAGTCTTCTTCCCAGATTGTTGGTTTTAGGAAGATCTGAAGGGAGGAAAAAGTGCACCCAAAATCAAACTAGAAACAAGGGGTAAGAGGCCTTTTATTTAAGACTAAACCTTTGCTCTAGTTAACTTTAGGATTTCTACTAACTGCATAGTGGTGTATGTGAGTCCTGGTTATTATATCTGCTTGCTGCACCTCTGCCCCGCTCACAAAAGTAGCCTCAGTGTCTTATGTGTCTTACGCAGTCGATAAGCGGATCGAATCGGAGGAGTCGGGCGACGAGGAAGGGAAGAAACAAGCGGCTTCCCTAGTAACAGACCTCAGCCAGCAGAGCCTGCGAGAGGAGCAGAATGGCGAGAACTCCACAGGTACCTGGCGAGGTTTTYGTTAGAAACAAGCAAAGAAGCTTTTTACAGCTTTGATTTAGTGTCATTGTTTACTTTTAAATCATTTACATTTAAAATGGTTGGAAAGCAAAGGAAACTGTTTCTGGATAGAGTGAAGGAATGTTTCATGTTCTATTTTTTTACACATTTAGGAATCAAAGATGTATCAAAATGCATCTTTATATTTGAATCCTCTTAGTTTTGAATTCTCACTGCAGTTTTTACTGTTTTCTGTAGTGCGATGGAAATGGGGAGGCTTTTTTTTTTTTTCTTAAATCCTGTGTGTGTTGGGTGGAAAGATTTGGATTTCACTATCTTGCTTGAACGTTATCAAAGCAAATCCCTCTCTGAAGACCCCGATTGGCAACATTATCAAAACTTCTGATGCTATTCTTGGTGTTGGACGAAGAAGAGYTAAATCTCTGAGAGATCTAAGAGATCTAGAGCTAGGTCTTAATAATTTGAGGTGGAGTAGCATCCTTCTGATGCATGTGTTCAAGTAACTCAGTCTGGAAATTAAAGTGAAATAATACAGCATTTTTCTGCTGCATTTTAATCCTTTTTGACTGTTCCCATTTTACAGATCCCTCTTAACCATATCCCTTAGAACTYGCAAAAACATTTTTCCAAACTAGTRAACTAATGTGAGAATTTGAACTCTCATTTCCTAATTAAACAATCTCTYTCTAGATTTAACTCATGTTTAATGTATTTTTCTGCARTTAATCACAAAATAGTGTATTGATGTCTGCAAAAGTGCAGGAGCCCATTTTGCAATTTGGGGAGCCAGCGTACTATGTGCCAGCAGAACCAAGTGGATCAGTCAGTCATGACTTTATTTTGCACACACAGAGCGTTTTGAGTGTAACACAGTGTAGCTATGCATTTAACTTTAAATGCCCAAAAATATAACTTTATCTTTTGTGTATTGTTTTCTCTTGGAAATGTAATGTTAAAGAGAAGGCTTCAAATGGCACCTTTTCATTACCAACTGAGCGATTCAGAGTTGGTGGGTGGATTGTATTGGGAACTACTGAATTTAATGCCAGTATTGTCATTTCTTCCAAGCTGGTAGGATTCAGCAGAGACTAAGCAGGATTAATAGCTTTGGAACATTTGAGTTAGTTTTGGTAGCTAGCTTTTGAGTTGCCAGGTTGAAGGAAAATGAAGAGTTTTCCATCTTTTCCGTGGAAGGACATAAATAGACACATCTCAAGCAGCTGCAAGCTCAAATCTTTCATTCCGCTAATTCTCTGAGAAATAGCAGCTCTGTTCAGGAAGCTTCTRACTTAGCTCTGTGTAATAATTTTCCTGAATATTTCAACTGCATATGCAGTTAAAAAGCGCGGTTAGGCTTTTGGTTGCACTAATGCTTGTGGTTCTGGGGGATTACATAACTCCAACTCCCGTTCCGTATTGCGGAGCYCAGGTTTCCCAGATGTAGCCGTTTCCCTGCATCCGCGGAGTTGGGTAGCTTACGGGCATCAGCTGTGTTAAAGACTCTGTTAAGTAGCTTCACTGCTGGAGCAATGGTTATTTTCCCCTTTGAGAATCTCTGCTGCATTAAAAAGTGTTGACATGAAAATTTGTTTGCCTACTTGAATGCTGGCAAGTGAAACTGCACTTTTGTTTGTGGAGCTGACTGTAGGAGGGTCAGTTTAGGGTTCTTTGTGTTTTATATTCACTTTATTCATAAACAAAACAATTTTTTGCCTGACAATTTGCTGCCAGTAAGTTCCTCAGAAGCATTTTCTGTTTATCTGCTCTTTAAGAGCAAAAACCTATTGTTGATTATTTTTGTCCCAATTTTGATTTAGCCACATTGTAAGTACAATGTACAGATTTCACTGGTCAGAAGACTGCTGTGTGCACGGAATCTTATATGCTGTATTAAAGTTACATTAAAAAAAAAAAATTTTATTTATTTTTATTTTTATTTACAGATTTCACTGGTCAGAAGACTGCTGTGTGCACGGAATCTTATATGCTGTATTAAAGTTACATTAAAAAAAAAAAAGCTTAATTATCTTTATGTTTAAGTTTAAATTGCTTTTATTACTGTGAATTCAATGTGTATATGTATTTACTATGTGATTCTGACTGTTAGACTTTGGTTTTGTGCTTCTGGAGTTGTGCACTTCTCACCCACACTGACTCTGCCAGGGCTATTGCTAAGACATCAGCCCTGTTAAAGGCTGCTCTTCACAATTCAGATATGTTTTATATGTCTTGCCTTTGCTGTGGCAGATTTTTAGATCTGGGGGGATTCGCTGAGAATTTTCTGGAGGCTGGGTAGGCCTCCCACCCCATAACAGCCTGTCAGAGCCTGTCAGTTCCTTTGCAGTAAGAACTAGAGAGGGGGCTTGTAGGGAGGAGGTGGGAATGAAGGTCTAGCTGCCATTTTCTTTTTTTTTAAATACTCTTCATTAAAAAAAGAAATGACACTAGCAAAAACCAAGCTGCTTTTAGTGGTCTACTTAAAGTATTTAGGACAACTTGGCTTTGCGAAAAGCTCCTTTCCTGTGTAGTATCTGTGCTGTTTGCTTGTTTAAAGGTTGTATGTGAAACATGGCATAAGCAGCTGAGGGGTTCTTGTGATGTGAAGTTTTATTGCTTCTTGGGATGCCCTGGGTAACTCCATGTGAGTTATAGAGCAAGAGGTGTGTTTTGTGCCAGAGGATTCCCAATATACCCCAAAGCAATGTCCRTAAATTATTGCTATGAAAGATCTCTCTAGGAACTGGTAATGGCTTTTTCGTTCTGGTTGGATATAAACTTCCATCACCTTTTCTTTCACCAGACGACGAGTCTGGTTGCTCAAATGAAAAGGTGAAAATATGAGGAAGGAAGGGAGCATTCTGTGCTCCTGAAGTTCTCTCACTCTGAGCTATTCAGCAACAGATACCGGTGTAATGTATTGATTATCTACATGAACGAGTAGTCCATAGGAGATTGAGAAATATGTTTTTGTTTGTTTATTTTTATAGAGAAGCCTGCCGRCCAAGAACAGTTGCAAGAATAAGGTTTTTCACCAAATTATCTCCTAAGTGCATTACTGGCTTTACTGCTGAACAACTTAAAAGTCTCAAAGGGAGAAGTTCATTACAATAAACTCTATAATTTACTTCCAGTGCAACTTAATACAAGGGAAATGTCTTGTTGTTTTGTTTTTARTATATGTCAGCTCTTGTTTTGAACTTGGATTGTATTCCTGCCGGCTGTGAATTCAGCTAGGCAACYTGCATGTCTTTCAGCTTTGTGTTTGCAGCATCTTGCGCCCTAGGAGTAGATTGTAGATCCTAGTACATCTACCCAACAGTAGATAGATTCGGTTTTGGTAGGGTGGTGGTTCTCTGCTGAAGTAAATCACTCCGAATTTTGATTTGGAAGAATAATAGGGAGGAAAAAAAAAAAAAGTGTTGTCTGCTACTAAAATGTTGATAGATGCATTTTCCTGTCAGTGTTGGTGGGGTTTTGATAAATGTACTCAACTTGCTTCTCATCCCCCAATATGAATTATGCTTCCTGATAGCTTATGGTGTGTGTGTGTATGCTATATAATATAAATATATATATATAATGCTTTATATATTATATATATATATATACACACACACACACATAAACATTAAAAGATTTAAAAGATGAGGAGAGGTGATTGTGTTTCATGCCTAAACTCCATGATTCGATTCAGTTAGGGCTGTTCCCTGTGGAGCAACCAAAACTGGTCAAGCTCTGCTGTATTATGGAAAATGCCAAGCATCTGTAGGAAAAGCCCTTGTTAGGGATGGGGGATTTTTTTTGGAGGGGGAAGGGAGAGGTGTCTCTTACAGCCATGCTGGGTTATAAAAACAATGCTTATTTCTGCATTAATGGAATGAGCTTGTAGTAATGCAGGGGTTAATTTGGAGTGTTTGCACTTAACGACTGTAATTAAAGATTCTTGTAGTGTTCTTTGAGCCTTGCATGTGAAGTRGAAACAGGCTGGATGTCTGTCTTGCACAGCCTAATTAGCCTTTCCCTGTGAAACGGATGCGAGCCGCATCTCCCAACAAATGGGAAGGGGCCATGAATTATTCAACGTGGGTTTATCTGCCAAACTCCTCTCCATCCTGCACTGGGCTGCCTTCCAGAGCTGTGAAAGCACTTCCCAGGAAAAAAACGTATGCAGTGGGATAAACAGTGTTTTCTAGCATATCAGTGAGCTCATTTAATAAACAAAAAGAGGGAAATCCAGGCAAAAAATGTGCACAGTGATATAAATTGGTAATAGTTATGAATGCAAAGCTCTAGGGTGGGGTTGCTGTGGTGCTTGGTCATTTTTGATGCTGCCCTAGATGACATAGGTGCCTAGGTGCTTTCTTGGCAGCCCTTCATTAGCTGGGTGGAGAAGAAGCAGTTTGGGCAGTAAATCTTGAGAGCGGTGATGAGGGGCTGGTAGGGGAGGCAGGAAAAGGAGTCGTGCCAAAAATTGGTCTTAAGCTGGCATTAATTACCAGCCCTACATGCAGGGTGAGTGAGGTGCTCTTTTTTTGAACTCTGCATTTAGGCACARAATCTTGTTGTTGAGGAAGGTTTTGTTCATATCTGGATGTTGTGATGAGAGCCRAATAGTCCTCTGTGTTAAAACCAGTGCTTCAGCTGTCTCAGTTGTGAATCTCATGTGTTGTTGTTTCTTCTGGAGGGCGTTTGCTTCCTTTTTCTGTCCTGTTGTGAGCTGTCGTAGCCTCACCATGGAGCACAAGTCTATAATGTGTTCATGTCTTTACTTCTACTACAGGAGAAGCGGAGACACCAGTGGACATGGAGACAATTAGCCTGGACCCAGAGGCTGAGGTGAGATGTATTTTTGCTCCTAAGGGCTTAACACAATGCAAAGAAAAGCATGCAACCCTATTAAAAAATCCATTTTTCTGAAGGTACTGGCTATGCTGATCTTCACCAGAACTGGATCAGAGCTTTTAGGGGAGAAACAAAGGTGTTTTATTCCTCATCAGCAGCTGAATCCTTTCATTAGTCCCTTTGAACTTTAGAAAAAGCCAGAGGCACTGGAAATGGGGGCACACTGCAAGCATCTGTGYAGTGATAGGAGCTTTTGTGAGAAGGCCTTTAGTGACTTCCTTGCTGCTGAGAGGTCTGTGATTCATAACGGGCACAGCCCGTTACTGGCCTCCCGCCTTGGCGTAGGCAGCTACACGAGCTTGTCAGCCGCTGGGTTGCTGAGCTTTTAGCTGGTGAGGTACGTTGTTTCTCCTTTCCTGACTGACTTGCAACGCCGGAATATCTGTACCACACAGATGTGTGTCAGCTGGGCAGAGTTATGCTCACAAAATTGTCAGCGGTCCCTGTTCGTGTAAGGCCTGGAGCTGGAAACAGCAAGGCCTGTCCCGGTTAGTCTCTGGCAAAGCAGGTTTGAGAATGGTTTTTGTAGTACTGTATTCCTTCTGGACACAACTTTGTTTGTTTGTTTTGTTTTAGATAAATTCACAATTTACCCCCTAAGTTTTCTTCTGTTGAAATAAAACTCATATTCATGAGAAGGCCTCGCGCTGTGGCCCTTTCACAGATAGGGTGTTTGCAGTTGAGAAGCCACGTGCTTCACCTGTGATGATAAAATCATCTGCCAAGCCAGATCTTTATGAACTCTTTGAAGTGTGGCTTTAATGAGCTACGTGGTTATGATTTTCCTTAGAACAGGGTAGCAGGTTGGTCTTTGAAGATTATTTTGGAAGAGCTGCTGCATCCCTCTGAGCTCCCTTTCTCTTTCAGGATGTTGACTTGAACCATTTCCGAATTGGGAAGATAGAAGGATTTGAAGTGCTCAGGAAAGTGAAGGTAAGTCCTAAGAAATAAAAACTCTCTCTTGGAGACAGATTTCACTAAACTGATYTGTTTAAAAAAAAAAAAAAAAAAAAAAAAAAAAAAAAAAAAAAACAAGGGTCTCCCTTAGGCTGAGACCCTCACGAGGTCACTTTGTTATGACCGAAGGTAGCATTTACCCATTTATCAAGTAGGAGAAAAAATCCTGGTGTTTTGGAAGCTGCCTTTGGAAGAGCATGAGAGCTCATCCTAAGAGATGCGTTCTGCGTTTGCACAGCTGGCTTCACGTAGAGTAACTGGGATTGGGAAGGACCGCTGGAGGTCTTTAGTCCTCCCCTGTTCCAAACGGATCTGGTTACAGCCTGTTCCTTGTCCAGTCAAACCATGTCCAAAAATGGACACTCCGCAATTTCCTGAGTCTTTTACAGTTTAAGCAACTTAATGTAAGGTTTTTTTTCTTTGGTRGAGTATGAATAAAACAATAAAAGATTCTGTAAAAACAAACAAAACCCCAGCAACAGCTTAGTGGATAAACAAGTAAACGTACAATCTGTTTCCCAAAGGGCAGTGCATTCATGTCCATTTTCCTGTTTGTTTTTAACTCTGTCCCCGACTATTAGACTCTGTGTCTACGTCAGAATTTGGTTAAGCGCATTGAGAATCTGGAGCAGCTGCAGACCTTGCGGGAGCTGGACCTCTATGATAACCAGATTCGGAAGATCGAGAACTTGGAGGCTCTAGCAGAACTCGAGTGAGTCGAGGGTAATCGCCGGGCTTGGGCCGAGGGTTGTTTGTCACTGGTTGAATTACTTGTGTTCTGTTTCTTCCTGTCTTTATCACCCAGGCCTTTTTTCTTTTTTTGAGGATAATTTGTGTGCTCTGTGAAGGACAATATCTCTTGTCCACAAGGATTTGACATGGATGATAAACTAGTTTCATTATCCTGGAGCTCATCAGGGCCAACCAAAAATKAATGGGGTGTTGTGTAAAGCAGTGGGAATGAAAGGTACTTAAAGGGATTTTTGTACCCTGGTGCAGATGAGTTCAGTCACACTTTGCTACATAGAGCTTTTGCTGTCAGTGGTAGGTTTTTATCCCTGTGGGGAATGACAGAGGGTTTTGGATATGATGAAAAGTTTGTTTTGGAAGTGCTGTTCTGACTCAGCAAAGAAAAGGCTGTAAGGAGTAGTGTTTTCCCAGTTATAAGCACTTGTTTGAGCTCACCTTGGAGAAACATGTTTGATGCAGGAGCATTGATGATGCTCCTCTCTCAAAATCATCTCTTCCTCCTGGACTGATGAGACTTTTGTTTCTTCTCAGGGTCCTTGACATCTCCTTTAATGTTCTGCGACAAATCGAGGGACTAGACCAACTTGCTCAGCTTAAAAAACTCTTCCTTGTCAACAACAAAATCGGCAAAATTGAGAATTTAAGTAACTTACAGCAGTTACAGATGTTAGAGTTGGGATCCAATCGCATTCGGGTAGGTTCGTTGCGCAAGACACTAACTGAAGGGTTTTGTGTGCTTTCGTTTGGGATTAGCCTTTTCTGAAAGTGCATTGTGACTTTTACTTGCAGTTTTGCTCTTTTGATCTACTCGTTTAATGTGYAATTCCTTACTGCCGAGCCTGCTGAGCCCTCCAATTATGTATGGAGTTTAGTGCCCGACTATTAAATTACTTTTTATGAATTTCTCTTCAATTACCTCACGCAACTCCCGTGCGTTGCTGTTGGCAGATGAGTTTCCTCCTGGTAGAGAGCCAAAGCTTGTTCTCTCTTACCTTCCTAAAGGCAGCTTCTATTTAGTAAAGTCAATTAAATTTAAACTTGATTCTAGTTTCAGATTTGTGCATATAAGTGATAACTTGCTACTGTAGCCAGTCTCGCTCAAAATTTTTCCTGAGGCTTAACTCTGAAATGCCTACTGACCCTGATGTTGTGCTGCTGACCCCCTAATCAGTATTTTTTAGAGTACAATTTGTGATCTTTTCAATTTTGTTGTCTTGAAACCAGCAAAAAAGGCTTGTGGAAGCACATTTCTCTTCCTAAAAAAGATGTCAGCTGCAAACAGCCTTTCTTCAGCAACTGTAAGAGTCTTTCTCTGTATTAAGGCAGAAACAGAAACGTTTGCAGCTTTTCTAGAGTGGCTAGAGCTTATCTTGCTGATAAGCTAATGCTGAGTTGTATCCATTTCTCTTCCAGCTGAAAGAATTATTACTTTGGAAATGCAGTGACTTAAGGGAGTACATCTAGAGTGAGAACAGCAGCCAGAAGAGCGATTAGGAACCTTGCAGTTTGCTGGGGGAACATGACTGGGAGAGATCAAGAGAGGGAGAGACAGTTTCCTTRGGCAGAAACCCAACAGGCTACTGCTTCCTGTATTTTGAAAGCTGGGTTATGGAATAAAAGTGCAAGTTCTGCCTATTTAAGAATCACTGCTGTGTGAAAGGGGGAGAAAAAAAAAAAAAGAATCCACCTACATTTCTGTGTTGATATTTAGGCAGTTTGTTTTTTGTTGCCTTTTGGATCATTTTGATGTTTTGGTGACCCAGCTATGCGTTTTTTGCAAGTGGACCTATCCTTAGCTCCACAGGGTAATAACTTGTGGACTGTCTGCTCAGGCAGCATCTCAGCACTGGAATTCCTGCTTTCCTAATACCCTGTGCATTGGAGCTACTGCAGTGMTGTTGCCTTTGCTATAAACCCCTCATCTTTCAGCATGCATTTACTGAACGTTCTTACTTGGTAAACATTCATCATCCTGTCTTTATTATGCTAATGCTGAGGAGGCAGAATTTTGTGCCTGAGCTAATGCTTTATCGTGCCTATTTATTTTGCCTTTTACAAAACTGGAGCGAGGCAAGCATTTCTTTAGTTGCTCTCCTAATTCTTTTCCTTGCATCCCTCTGTTTCAAGCTCTCGTGGAAGTGTGGCTTTTTTGTAGTTTTAAGGAGCGTGCTGGCCCTCCCCACTCTGGTTAGTTCTGCTCAACATCCTCTGAACCAGCAGCAGTTTTTCCCCACTGCCAGGACCGGAGGAGCTTCCACTGAGAAACAAGTTGGTTTTTTTGCAAGGCCAGRATGGGAGTAGGTCCACAGGGACATGAAGCCTATTTGGGCTCATCAACAGCTAGTGTTGAATCCGGCCATTCAGGGAGAGATGTTAAAAAGCTTCTTTTCTTACCAAAGTGCATCTATAACATGTACTTTGTGTGTGTGTGCGCGTTTCCATCCTTCTCCCTCTACGATTTCCTTTATGTGTGTGTGTTTGTGTCCATCATCTTCATTCCCAACGTGTGTGTGTGTGTTTGTGTGCACACATGTTTGAAGTTTAGATAGTGTCTTTGCATTTAGAATTTAATTCGTAAAGAATTAAAAATTCTTTTCCGGCAGGAGCTCTTTGCCTTTGAGTAAAGAAGACTGTCCCCTGAAAAAAAAAACACAGCATTTTCTTTCCTCCTACTAGATGAAAGATTCTTTTCTAAACCTCTCTGCCCAGAATTCTTTTCTAAGCCTCTCTCCCTCTTTCTCCTCATGTGTTTTCCTCTTCTGATTCACACTTTCTTTTGACCCTCTTGTTGCAAGTGAAATATGAGGCTCTTTTTTAGCCCTCAGAGTTCCTTGCTGCCTCCCACTGAAGGCTGAACTCTCAGGATTGAGACTGACCTAGTGTGTGTGTTGTGCTGGGAGCATGTGTGTCTAACACGTGTGGCATTCTTACCTTAGATACCCCTGTGCAACAGTGAACCTTGCTCTGGCACAGRAACTGCAGTGCAGAGGAGCTAAGTTACCTCTGAGTTATGGTCATCAATGGTCAGGACTAAATTTCAGAATTTTGTTTTCTCCTCCCAGATGTTCTTTCCATAGTAACAGATTTTTCTCAGTTCACAAATAAATATTCCCTGCTGTGGATGTACCTGATGTCCCCGAGAAAGTCATGTCCAGCACACTCTGAGCCTCTTTGTTCTCTGCTTTTGCTGCCTGGATGGTGGAGATCACAGCCAGAGCAAGGTGACATGACCCTTGATGAAAGTCAAGGACCAAAAATGCCCCAAGGCAGCGGGCACTGCACAAAACCAACCCCTCGCTCTGCTTCTGAACCCAGAGGGAGGCCCTGCCTTGCACATGCTTTCTGTCGTGGAATTTGCAGGCTGATGGTTTTTTAGGAATGTTTAGTGTGTCCTATGCTTGGAAATACTTCCTGTTTCTTCTCGTTGCAGCTCAGATAGGTTGTGTTTCTGCTTTGGATATTCTGACACTTAGAGAGCACATGTTGCGGGTGTATTCCCATCACCGAGGGAAATGAGCCAGTGGTCCTCTCTGCTCCTGCTGTGCTGCTTCAGTAATTGCTGATAAAACGGAGTTGTAGCCACGGGGTTTTGTTTCCTAACGTGCCGCGAGGATGCGAGATGTGTCTCAGGCTGCCTGTGCAACCCAACCTACACAACATCTTGATTCAGAGAGTGCAAGTTTTAGAGCTATTCAAATCGGGATAGCAAGCTGTTAGCAAAAACATATTAAGGCAACTCTCTATTTCTGCTGCCTTAAAATGCTTCTCTTAAAGTTGGTCACCTGTAGATTAGATTTCATCTCACAGCAATAATACTGTCTCCTTTGATCATTTCACAGGCAATTGAAAACATTGACACCTTGACTAATCTTGACAGTCTGTTCCTTGGAAAGAATAAAATCACCAAACTCCAGAACTTGGATGCACTAACAAACTTGTCTGTGCTCAGCATACAGGTATTGATTCTATTTGCAACCTTTGTATCTTGAAGGGCTATGGATGCAGCTTCCCTTCTGAGCTTTCCCTTAAAAAGAAACTACAAAACAAGTGTTACTGATTTGTAAGCCTGTTGTTTCTAAACAGACCCAAATGGAAAACTTGCAGGCTGCAACTTCTGATGGAGAGGTCTTGAACACTTTGGCTTTCCCAGATATTCGCTGGGAGATGGTGGCAAAGAGATCAAACGAACTGAGCTACGTCAGTGCGGACTCTGCTACCTCTCGTTGCCCTGTGCTCCCAGCAGGCCACTTCCCCTTCCAGTTACACTTGACAGGAATGCTTTTTCTCGGGGATTCCCTTGGGGTTTGATGTGTTTATGGTGTTAGAAGTGCTATTATAATTTCAGAGCAACCGTCTGACCAAGATCGAGGGTCTGCAGAGCCTGGTGAACTTGCGCGAGTTGTACCTCAGCCACAACGGTATCGAAGTCATCGAGGGACTGGAAAACAACGTGAGCTTCCCACCCGCTCTCACTAAAACTGGCTGGTCGTTGCCCTGAAGTGCTCCTGAAGTGGGGCTAGGTGTCTCTGGAAGCTTTTTTGTTCCTCAGTTTCCCCCATTGCACAATAACAAACAACATGGAGATCCAAGTATTTGCTCTGTTAAAATATCTTGGATATGTAAAGCCCTAAAGTTCTGCAATAGAATAATTTTCATGGTTGCCTGGGGTGGGCTGAGGGAACTTAGGGAACATGTGGTTGATTGGAGTGTCCAGCTGAGCTGCAGGGCCTGGCAGCTGCTGTTGCCTCTCCTTGCTTCAGTGTTTCAGAGAGGAGCCTGTAGGTAACTAGGAGTCTTAATGAGGAGGATGAGAGGAGCTGTGGGCGAGAGCAGCAAGCTGTGACATCYGCCTTGCCTTCTCGGGGGCTTTGCAGGCTGTCCCAGAGGGTTGCTCAGAGAGAAGCCTGTGGTGTTTTCCTTCTCATTTAGCAGAAGGTGGCATTGTAAGAGAAGAGCAAGCTCACTCAGCGGGTTGTGAATAACCCAGATTAATTAAAAATGCTCTCCCTGCTATAATTAGTTGGTGTGAGGTCTCCTTGTGCTGCATGTAAAGAGCTGGCCCAGACGTGTCATTGCTTCAAATTCTGAGCCCAAGCAAAAGTGGGGCGGAGAAGGTGAAAGAAAATTGGATCTAAAATTGATGTGTTTCCTTGCCTAGAACAAACTTACAATGCTGGACATTGCTGCCAACAGAATCAAAAAGATTGAGAATATTAGCCACCTCACGGAGCTGCAGGAGTTCTGGGTAAGTACCCAAAAATGAGATGGTTCCTCTTTTGTGTTGGGGAACAGCGGGAGAGAAGGTTATTCCTTGGAGTCCAGTGGTCTGTAGGGTTATTGTAAACTTTGTCTTCTGACAACTGACCTCCTTGGAGAAGAAGTTACCCTTAATGAGTGTAACTYGTAACTTTATGCAGGCTTTGATGAGTAGTAACAGGCCTATCTTTACCTAGAGTATAGATCCTGCTGCAAATGCATGCTGGCTAAAGCCCTGCTTGCAATGGTTATAAACCTGTCCTCCTGGGTTCTAGTTTTGCAGATCTCCTCTTTCTTTAAGTCGAGGTCTCTGTGAAATGGGAGATGCTGGTACTGGCTCACCACCACTGTCAAGCACGCTGCCTCTTYGGAGCATATTTAGGGCAGATTTGGTCTGTTCTTGTCACTGTAAATACAAAAAAAAAMCCCCAAACTCTCCTTGGTTTACTTCAGTTCTACGTCTGTTCAAGTTTGGTTTGGTTTCCTTGTGGCATCCTAAACTTTACCATTCACTACTCCAGTCAGGAAATGTGTAGATTCCCTTCCTGAAATATCAGTCCCGTGTTGTGTTTGGGAGCTGCTAATGTTTGAGGGGAAATAATAGTTCCTGAGCTGGCAGATGCTTTAGCTCTTGTAGGGTTCTTAGGAGTGAGGATTGAGAACAAGAGTTAATGCTGCCAAATGCTGTTGTCTGGACTTTCAGCTGGTTACACTTTGGGGCAGAGGCAGTGATAGGAGAGCTAGAAAGCAGCTCTAGGCTCCTTGGGCTGTTTTTTCACAACACGGAGTGCTGCTTAGCAGACTGCTGGTGGTCTCACCTGAGCTTATTAATTCCAGCAGGAAAGCTTTATATAATGGAGCTGTTTAACATGACATCCTGCTGGCTCTGGGCTCAAGACACTGCAATGTGGCCGCTGTGGGACTGGCTTGAATCTTTGCAACTTCCTATAATCTTCATCTGTGAGCACAGCTGCTCTGCCGCTTAGACAAGGAGGCCTTGTGCAGCTGTTTCCCTTTGCTTTGCAGAAGGTAAAGGGAGGATCCTATCTTCACCGGACTGTTTTTGCAAAAACACCCGTGCTTTGAAAGAGCCCTTTGCCAAAGCAGAGCATTGGCCAAGATGTGGTAGCTGTGTCCAGCTCCTTTCCCCRGCTGAATGTAGGAAAAAGCTCTACTGCTCTGTTTGTTTGTTTTCACTTCAAAGCTGTTAAAAAGCTGATATTCTTGGCAAAAAGCCMGGCTCAACTTTCTTTGGTATAGGCAAATGTTGCTTCTACTTATTTATTTTCACCATCTGTAGAGGTGAAACTGCCTAACTAAGTTCCTTAACATCTCAAGGAAACGGAACTCCAAATCCTGGATTCTGCAGGAATCGTCTAAACTTTTCCCCATGTTGTCTCAGCGGAGGAATTCAGACATGAGGCAAGTGACTTGCCTGAAGCAGTACTGGGATGAGTGATAGTAGAGTGAAAAGCTACTGGGTTTTCTTCAGAGTGTTAGTCCAGGGTCTTAACTGAAATAAATGTCATGTGTTGGAGCACCGGCAGTGCCAGTAACAGGGCAGTTGTATTTCACAGAACTAGATGGATGGAGGTGGTACCTGACAGACCAGGTGTGTTGTGTGTAGGGTGCAATGTTTGACCTGCAGCCCCAAACTGTGCAGATATTGGTAAACGTTAGCAAAGCCCGGTGTGTGCAACACGGAATGTTCCCTTGGGTTCCAGAGGAAAAAGGATCATGTAAGCAGGGACTTGCCTGCTTACATGTAGAGGTTCCTGCCGCTGGCTGATGCTTCCCACGAGCAGCACAAGTCCTGGCTAGGTTCTTGCTAAGCAGCCTTTGCTGGAAATGTCTTTGTGTGAGTATGTGTATATGTGCTCTGCAGATGAATGATAATCTCGTCGAGAGCTGGAGTGACCTGGATGAGCTGAAAGGAGCCAAGAACTTGGAAACTGTTTATCTGGAGCGAAACCCCTTGCAGAAGGATCCCCAGTACCGGCGCAAGATCATGTTGGCCCTCCCGTCTGTCCGGCAGATTGATGCCACCTTTGTTCGATTCTGAACCTCCCACTGCCCTTCYCTCCTGCCCTCCTTGCAGAAATGTCCAAGCTGGGTTTTTTATCCACTTACCACTCCCTAGGTCTTCAGTACACTGACTTGCAAAACAAATGGTCAATAAAAAGCACTGAATCCAAGATCTTGTGTACAATGCACTTGTTGTTTTTGAAATGTTATTATTATTAAATCTTGACACAAGAGACTTCCTTGCGCTTCTGTCTGTTATTTATGGGGGAAGTTTTGGCAACAAGTGGTTGCGACAGACTGCAGCATTTCTAGCTGGAGCCACTTGTGACTTGCAGGGATCCTGTGATGCACCTCCAGGCCAGTGACACCCCCTGCAAACAGTGTGTTCTCTCATCCAACRTTCAGATCCAGGTGTGAAGGTGGTAACGTAAAAATATGAGGAGAGAGCACAAGGGCTGACGGGGGGGGTAGAACCTGGCAGAGGTGCTCACCCAGCTTAGSAAATCCAAGTTGGGGCTAAACTTCTCCAGGAAAGGAGGGGAAGTTAGACTTTCTGTAGCAGTTCTTAGCTGTGGGGAAACTGCTACAAGCTCATTAGAGAGAGGGCTGAGAAAAATAGTTGGAGATGTGAAGGACAGGTGGGAGTGAACATGCCCGGAGGAASTGCCAACCTGGAGGAAGCCACCACTGATGGGACTTCCCTATTTTAAGTGTGAACAGTGGAGTGAGATGAGAATGGGCAAAGGAAATTCAAAAAGCAAGATTAAAAGGGGATCCTACTTGAGGAGCTGAGGGAGCCAGCCCCTTCTGGCACGTTTCTTGGGAGTGGTTATGACCGTTTGCCTCTTGTTTCCCAGGACTTGCCAGAGCAAAGCACAGCAGAGAGCGTGGCAGGAGCCTCCCCCTTCCTCGGCTGCAGTCAAGGGCCTTTCCAGATCTGTTCCAGAACCCAGGACTACCATGCTCTGGAGTTTCAAAGCACCTCCTTGATGCTCACGTTGGATGCCACTGCTGCCTGAAGCAAAGCTGGAAGGTTCAGTAGATGCTGTTGTGTTCTGTTCCATTGAAAACAAGCAGAGCTCCTAGAGAGAGAGACTGTGATTTAGTATCTCTTCAACTGTAGCCTTCATCTTACGAATGCTGCCAGCATCCCTTCATGGAAAGCCCCCTGGCTGGAGTGCCAGACGCTTGGATTGCAGTTTTGAAAGCCTTAGAAGAGCCTGCAGAAGGGTAAGATGCAGCCCTCTGTGAAGGATTCCTAATTTAAACTGGCAGAGCTCCAGAGGGCTCTCTGCTAATGTCCTGGTGGCAGAGGAGGCAGGGAGATTGGCAGGGGGCACCGAGGGCTGCTGCTTGCTGCGCTGCCGTACGATCTGTCATCAGTTACTTGATCTCTGCAGTGACAGCAGTCACCTTTGGCAAGATGTTAGTGCCAGTGAGAGGGGACTCTGTTTCTGAGGGTGTCCCTAAGCGCTTCTGTAAATACAATCTGTGCCTGGGTATTAGTTGCCCCTCTTGCAGCAGTTGCTTGTAAGGCAGATGTCAAGATGGGGTGTTTGGAGGCCAGGGGCATTGGGCATCGTCTCGGTACCAAGCTTGCTTACTCTGGATGTTTTTCAGCAGCTCCTGAGGAGAGGGAAGCTGTTTATCCACACTCCGTTGATTACTGCGGAGTCCTTGCGCCTTCTTCCCCTACAGTCTGACTGCAGGAGCTGGGTTTCCCCGATGAGAGCTGTAAAGCAGGGCCGGAGACATAAGGATAAGGTAAGGATAGACCACGAGCTGCTGCTCGTGTCAGGCTGGCTTGCAGCTTCCTGGCCAACAAGGTAAGGACTAAGTGCTTACAAAACAAACCAAATCAAGACCTGTTGCCATTAAATTCAGAGAGGTGGTTTTGTCATTCCTCTACACCCATGTTTGATCTAGGCAATTGACCTTTGTGTCTTCAGCATCTCAGAAGCCTCCTTGGAAGAGGTTGCCATCTGCTGAAATGTGTTTGTCTGACASGTATCTCCCGTCACTCGTGGGAAGCAGCTGCTGCCACGGCCAGGCGGCTGTGGATGCTTTATCATGGGCTAGATGGATCAAGAGAAGGGCTGGGAGAAGAACCGAGTAAATGGGAATAACTTGTTCCGCAGCAGGTTTGGGATGCGCACAGGCCTATTTTGAACAGGATTTTTATCCAGTGAACCTGCCAGGTATCTAAGAAACACCTCACGTGTAGTTCCCTTGTAAGGGAACATAGCAATGAGACAGTCTGCATATGAAAGCTGCTGCTGGATTATTTGGATAATCCAGCTGCTGCTGGATTATTTGGATAATCCTATTGGATTATTTGTTTTGCAAGCTCTCCAGTAAAAAGGTGTATTTTGGCTCTTTTCAAAGCTGTCTCCTTCTCTCTGTTAGCAGTTGGACCAAATCTCCAATGGGGTATTAGCTGTTTAGTATGAGGTGTGCTAGGTCCTGCACATCAGGTCTTGTTGGGCCACTGTCCACCAGAACTGTAAGCCTCGTCCTCCTGCCTTGTCCAGATGTGGAAGAACAGGTGAGGAATGGTAAGTGAGAAAAAGTGAAAGGTGTGCTTGAAAAATTCCCTTGGTGATGGTTTGATTTATTCTAACCTGAGCTGGATTTGAATCTTTGAAAGACATGGGGGAGCCCCTGGGGGAGACCAGAAGTTGGTAGCCCTCGACCCAAGGGACCCCAAGCTCCGCTGCCACCCACTTTGCTCTGGGAACCTCAGCTCCGCGCACTCGGCGTCGCGGGGCAGCTCCTTCTGCCATTGTGATGCCATGGRAGCGCTTCCGGAACGGGCACTGGCACAGCTGGAGAGGGTAGGGTGACATCGGCACCGCCGCAGCAGGAGGCTCTGCTCGGCCATGGCCCTTGCCTGGGGTGACGTTTTTCCCTGGTGCTTTTGCAGGGCCTCCGCTGTGGGGAAACACTGGGGACCCGGGCCCGCCAGAGCGCAGCCCGTCTGCCCTTCCTCGTGCCTGCTCCGCGAAACCTCAGCACCCTGAAACGCAGCCACTCTGTTTGCCTGGGGACACCGAGTTCCCACCTCCATCTCAAACAAAGGCAGGGCCTCCGTGGTGCCACAAACCTGCCACCCTCCTTCCCCCAACCTCCCCGCGGGCGTTATCTCTCTTAGAAACGCAAACTGACCTTTCCCAAGACGGGAAGCAGCCATAAACCACGGCGTTGAAGCAATAACGGAGCTCTGCCCTCCCCTAGAAACTCGAGGGGAAGCAGGAGGCAGGGAGCCACAGCCTGGGAGAGATCCTCAGCATTTTGCCGGTGCTCGCTTCCCGTTGGAGCCCGACCACAGTGCAGTCACCTCGGACATCAGGTAAGGYAGAAGAGCCTTGGCTTCTGTTCCTTCTCCTGCCACTCACAAAGGGCACGAATCGCACTCCAGTTGAGCATGGGTATCGGACAGGCTGGAGGGGATCACGGCAGTGTCTATTACGCCGGCTCCTGAAAGCTCCTGAGTGTTAATCCAGCTTTTCATCTTGCGCCTATTTCCTCATTGCTCCCTTTCTCACCCGCTGCAAAGCAGGACAACTAAGTGCTTTGCAAGACGATGCACATCCATGTGCTCTGCAAACTGGCTTCTGGCTGTGTTGGAGGCTTCTTAGAGACCACCTCAGCCCTGAACTTTTCAAGTGCCAAAGAATTTGGCTCAAGATGTGGAAATTTATCCCAAGGTTTCAAGGTGATGCAGATGCTCAAAAGGGAAGTGGAAGGGAAGAAGGCTGGGATGGGCAGTGAGGCTTTAAATGGTGTCTGTCCCACCGCTTGTCTCATGTCACTGCCAATCCAGAGCGCAGCAGGAATAAGGAGGGACATCGTTCCCCAGACAAACCTTTTACCTCCACACCAACTAGTCCTCAATGTAGGAGCAAGAAGCCCTTCCTGTTTCCATGATTTCTTTGCCTTTGAGGAACTGTGTGGCGTTTTGATGCTTTCTGATGCATTTAGCAGGTTTCTTCCTCGTGCTGTGTTGTCACCCCAAAAAAGAGAAAGCTCGTGTGTCAGAACAGCTAGGTTGGTATGGGCTGCCCTTGGCTTTTGCAAAGGTGTCTTTTGACCATGGTGCTCTTGGACCAGGATTCTTGGTGTGTTTTGATGCCAAGTACCAGGACAAATTCCATGTAGCTCTGTTGGATGAAGGAGCTTTGTTATAATCTGAARCAAACCAAATCCAAACCGTTGCCACCATTAAAGACATACTAGGGGGAAAAGAAAGAGTCTAAGTGTTATATTTACATGCTTTTGAATGCTCCTGTGGTGTAAAGTGACTCTAGATTAAGGAAAAGTCATGGGACTATAGCAGGTCCCCCTGAGAGCATGGAATGGTGCAGACCTTGGAAAAGCAGGAGCAACCTGGTACCCGGAGGCTCCAGAAAAATCACTCACCAGTGGCCAACTCCTGTGTAAGGCCTGTGTAAGAATCTGGCCATAAATTAGCTATATTTGCTGTAACTAATAGTTTAGGTTGTTCTCGATGCAGCCACACAAGCACTTGTGCTAGAAGAAGAAAGCACAAGGGAGATGACTGCAGCTTTCAGGTGCACATCAGCTGCTGCTCGTCTGGACCGTGGGTGAAGTTACTTAGTTTGGGAAAGGGAGACCATCCAGTGTGTTTTCTCTTACATCRCCTGTTTTTAAAGTACCACTAAAGAGCCGCTTAAAGGCTTTTCTGATGAGTAATCTGACCTCGTAAGAAGGGCAAAAAGGGCATTTCATTCAAATACAGAATCTGAAACTTCATTACAGTAAGGGAAACGGCATTTCCTGGAGTAAGACACTGGTTTTTTTCTCTTTAGCTGAATCTTTTCCAGCCTCCTTGCCTGTTTTTCAATAGAGCTGGAAAGAAATGTGTTTTAAGAAAGATACGTTTAATGCACTGTGTTACCGATAGAGCTGGTTTCTCTGGCCAACATCCAGCTCTGGGTGCTGGCAGGACTGTTTGTAGCTTCTCCCCAGCACCCTGGGGAGAACTCCCAAGTTTTGCTCACATCTGAACAAAAAAAAGAACAAGACCAGATCTCGCCGGGGAGCAACAACCATCCTCCCGATGGTAAAAGACACCAGCAAAGAACACACGGAGACCCTCAGGCTCCGGGTTTAGGCGGAACACGCGCTCCCAGAGAATAGCTCTTTCCATTTAGTGCATGTACCCTGTTATCTCTGCCTGGCTTTCRTTACCACTAGTTCAGGCAACACCCCTG